CATGCTTATGAAGCTAGATTAGACCTAGTCAGTGCACATGCTTATGAGAGTTTTTGTTTTGTTTTCCAAGAGTTTTTCTGTGTATCTCTCCTGGAACTAGCTCTGTAGACCAGGCTAGCCTGGAACTCACAAGGATCCACTTGCCTCTGGCTCTAGCTCTGCCTCTCCAGTGCTGGGACTAAAGGTGTGTGTCACCATCGCCTCCACCGCCCCCCTCACTTGACAGGTTTTTGTGTGTGCGAATATTTTGCTGTGTTCCTGGTTGGGCTGTTGGTTCTGACATACAAGCATCCCTTGCATGTCCCTCTGATAAGGCTGGCTTCTTTCCCAGAAGGCTCCAGGGATCTCTTAATCCAGAGGGCCACCCCCTAAGTCTTTAAAGAATGAGATGGACATTTGAATATGCCTCAGCTTCATCTTTGGAGGCCACTGCTGGCATTTCATAATTACCCAGCCTCAGAGTTCTTGAGTAGAAGGCCAGCGTAGTCAACCTTTTGGAGACCAACATGAGATCAACTGCAAAGTGCAACTTAGGGGCTCGCCTCGCTCACTTTGAGGTGTTGGTACTGAGTTCCTTGTACAGTACTGAGACAGTTCAGGTTGTTGGATGTCAGGACCTGGCTCTGGGTGACCTGAATCTAGGGAAGGCCCGGAACTAGCTTGCTACTGAGTGATGCCTCACTGGCTCTCCAAGATTTAGTTCTACACTTGTTCTTCAGTAAAGACTAGGAAGGCCCAATGGTTAGGAATAAGAAAATATCAGAAAATTCTAGATCATGGGTTCCCTGACTTCTCTCTGACCTCCCCGACTTTCTGAATGTATATGTGAAAAGTGAGGAGGTCCTTTGGAACAAGCCTCTGATCAAAGGAGCCCCTTTGAATTTGCCTTCAAGATCAAAACAGACTTCCAGTTTCCTGGACCAGTTTCCAGCACAGGGAACAGGTCATTCAAACACCAGTGTGATCCTGTGTGACTTTAGGAAGCCCTAGGCCCCTCCTCATTGGATCCAGAGCCAGCTGCATGGGGGGGGGGGAGTGGAGGTCTGGATGGCCCTCCCTCTGGCACTAGCTCATGCTGATGTCCCTTCACTTATGAAGGCCTTTGGCCAGCCCTAGGGCTTCTAGGAAGACTAGCTAGCTCACTGAAGTGAGTGTGCTTGAGCAGAAGGGGCAGTATAAAATACTCCTGACTGCACGTCCACTCTGTGTAAGGAGCTGCACATCTGCAGAGTAAGGAAACAACCTTAAAGCACAGGGCCAGTACAGGGACCACTCAGGGTAGTGTGCTTGTTGGCCAGGGATAGACTTCTAGATCAGAACAGTGAATGCAGAGACAGGACCTGGAAGATCCTCTCAGACTGTTGCTCTTCTGTTGGTCCAGACTGACCAGGAAGCTCTTAGGTCACTGAGCAAGTGGTTGTCAGAGGCACAGGGAGCAAAGCTCCTTGTTCCTGCCCTTGGAACAGGAGTCTGGAATGGGGTCTCCGCTCCCCACTCCCACAGAGGCCTACTGCTTGCAGGTCCCCAGGGAGGCACATTTTCAAGTACAGACCTTTCCTTTGGTTCTCCTGTCCCACCAGGACGCTGCTTTGCACCCACTGTCGCGTGCATGCACGCCTCATGCTCACTCCATCACCTCCATTCTGTTTGATTAAGCCATGCCCAAACCACTCGGTCCATGCTTCATCTTAGTGCACCATATCTCTATGACAAAGGCCTTCATTGAAATCTTTTTATTTGGTTTTTTGTTTGTTTGTTTATCTTTGCTCTAGAAGTATCTGATTCCATTAGCTTAAACTTTTGCAAGCATTTCTAATCTCTTACAATACAAGTCTCTTACAATACGGTCTCCACAAGGTAAGGCCTCAGGTCCCTGCCCTTTCCCTCACACCTGAGGTCCCCCACTGTGCCAGCACCAACATGCCGGCTCCCAGACGTTAATGGGTCCCCAAGCCCTGCCAGGCACCATTCTCTTCCATAGAGACACCTACAAGCCTCTGACCTCAGCCACTGTCTCTTACCATATTTGAAATTTTTCTACCTTGCTTCACCTTGACTTCAAGAGATAATGAATGAAGCATAGTCACCAGACAGATGGCACTGGGCTCTGAGAAATGGTTCCTGGGTTAGCCTAGGACCCTGTCTGAGCCTAAATACCTCCTTAGCCTATTTGACGGGTCCCAAGGGTTCCATCTCCAAACCCCTCCTAGCTTCCACTGGACCCAGACCAGGGTTGGGGGGATGGAGAATCAGGGACAGAAGCCTCAGGCTGCAGTAGGTAAGTAAGCTCACTGTCTTCTCTGCCTTCCTAGGATCCACGCACATTCTCACCCCACAGAAACTGCTGGACACGCTCAAGAAGCTGAATAAAACAGACGAAGAAACAAGCAGTTAAAAATAAGCTGCCCTCCAAAACCCTGGCTCCCTTCCTACACTGCTCTGCAGCTCCCCAGTGTGACACCTTGGTTACTCTGATGCCTCCCCAGCCCTGCACGCCCTGGCCACCCCGTTGCCGCGCTGAGTTCTTCTCCTGTGCAATGACACCCCATCTTGTTCTCTGAAAAGCAAGAGAGTAACGCATTGTTTTTAAAATTGAGTATCTTCTGTACGTATCCCACAGTAAGTTCACATGCAAGATCCACACGCAAGCGTCAGAACTCTGGACTCTCCCCTATTTATGACCCCGTGACCTGTATATAGCCCTGTACCACGTGTGCATATTGCTTGAATATGGAAAGGTAGACGCGTGGGTGTTTCTCAAAGCTTGTTTGGGCTCATCTCTGTTATTGTTGGGAATCATAAGTTGTCTGTCCCCGAGAAATGACATGCTGAGGAAGTGATGTTTTTCTCTCTAGCCCCTGCACACTCCCTGTTCTCATGCACAGAAGCTGAGAAGCAGTGAGCAGACACCTCTGGAGGCTGGCTTGGAATGAACCTCCTCTATGCAGCTGTGGGTGTGCACTTAGGGTGTCCACAGGAAGCCAGTCTGAGTGCCAGCCAGTGTGATCTCCAGAGCCTGACGCTGCTTTCCCTGACTTGCGTCCACAGTGTTGTAACAAGTTAAGTCCTCCGGGCTCAATCAGCATGCCTAGCACCCTCCAGTCCTCAAGAGTTCGGTATGACCAGCCCCCTTCCTTCCCAGGGCTTCACCTGAACACAGCCTGGATAGAGGTCAAGGGTCAGGAGTGAACTGGAAGATGTGAGTTTGGCACTCTGGTCAAAGGGTGCTTTGCTATAGAAGCTAGGCCTGAGGAATGGGGGCCCTGCTGCTCAGTCAGAGTATCCTCCGTTTAAGATACTTCATCAACCTTCACTTTGTGTAGTGTACCGTCATGTGTCATTGTGCTTGTATGAAACAATCAGTTTACTCTTTGTATTAAAGTCATCACTGTATAAAACATAGCTAGCTATAAAGCAGAAATTCCAGAAGCAGATGCTAGGATGGTCTCCATCCTCGGGATGCAGCAGCTCCCTGAGTATGCCGCTCACCCTGCTGTTGTAGTGGTGAAACAAAGACAGTGGAAGTCACAAAAATGTCCCCAGCCCAGCCCCCGCCCCTCCCTCCCGCAGACTTGTATTACTGTGTCTCGTGCTGTCTTCACAAATGTGGTGTACGCCTGCCGCAGGCGTCCTGTGCCCGCAGGCGTCCTGTGCCCGCAGGCGTCCTGTGCCCGCCTGCCTCCCTTCCTAGTTCTAGAGTCTCTCTCCTTAGTTCTCAGGCCCTCCCCTGCCCCTCTCCAGTGGCCCCTTTCCCTTAGGACTGAACCGTAGTAGCACCGGTTGATTTCTTCTGTAGCCGCTGCTTTCATCCCTTCCCTTGGTCAAGCAATGCTCATGCTTCAGGACCTTGTTTGTCGAACATGTGGGTTTCCTTTATGTTATTTATATAAATAATTTCTCAAATGGATATTTAAAAAAAAAGCTAGTCTGTCTTGAAACTTGTTAACTTGAAACTCTTGAATCTCAGTGTTGAAAGTACGGAAGCACAACCGTGTACCGCCCTGTACCGCCCTGTACCGCCCTGTACTGTCCTGTACTGCAGCATTTGAGTCTAATAAAGACGTCAGCTCTCACCCATGGTCCCAGGCCCACTGCAGAGCTGGTTTTACTTTGGGAACTATAGAGGAGGCCACCCACCCCAGAGCTGCAGCTTGGAGTCATCTGGATCCAGGGGATTGTGGCTTCTTTTTTTTTTTTTTTTTTTTTTTTGGTTTTTCGAGACAGGATTTCTCTGTGTAGCCCTGGCTGTCCTGGAACTCACTCTGTAGACCAGGCTGGCCTCGAACTCAGAAATCCGCCTGCCTCTGCCTCCCAAGTGCTGGCATTAAAGGCGTGCGCCACCACTGCCCAGGATTGTGGCTTCTTGCATTGCATCTGTACCTGTCTCCCATCTGGGGACAAAGCTTGGCTCTAGCCTCAGGCAGCAAGAAGATGCTGCCTCTTCACTCACTGATTATTGGATATTAGCCCAGAACCTTGAAATGCCCAAGATGCAACTCACAGGCCATATGAAGCTCATAAAAAAGGAAGACCAAGTGGGGGTGATTCAGTTCTTCTTAGAAGGAGCAACAAAATACTCAAGGGAGCAAATATGGAGACAAAGTGAGGGACAGAAACTGAAGGAGGGGCCATTTGAAGACCTTTCCACCTGAGTATCCATCCCATGTGCAGTCACCAAAGGTAGATGCTGATGTGGAAGTCAGGAAGTGCATGCCGATAAGGGCCTGATATGGATGTCTCCTCAGAGGTCTTCAAGAGTCAGACATATTCAGAGGCAGATGCTCACAACTAGCCATTGAACTGATCATGAGGTTCTCAATGGAGGAGTTAGAGTGAGGACTGAAGGAGCTGAAAGGGTTTGTGGCACCATGAGGAGAGCAACAATACCAACCAACCACAGCTCCCAGGGTCTAAACCACCAGCCTGGGAGCACTTATGGAGGGATCCAGGGCTTCAGCTGAATATGTAAGAGTGGAGGGCCCTGCCGGGCACAGGTGGAAGATGAGATCCTTGACCTCATGAAGGCTGGACGCCCCAGGGGGTGGGAATTTTGAGGGTGGGGAAGTGGGAGTGGGGGGGTAGGTGAGGGTTACATCCACGGAGAAGAAGGAGGAGGGGTAAGGGGATGGGGGGTTCCCGGGTGGGTGGGGGATGGGGTAAGGGGATAACATATGAAATGTAAATAAAATATCCAATAAAAAAAAAAAAAAAAGAAGATGCTGCCTCAGTGAGCATGGTAGCATTCACCTTTAGACCCAGTACTTGGGAGGCAGAGGCAGGGGGATCTCTTTTGAGTTCAGCCAGTCAGATCTACATAATTAGTTCCAGACCTAGCCAAGGCAACATAGTGAGACACTCTCTCAATGAATGAATAACAATAAATAAGGACCTGCCTAGACACGAGGCACTGGTGTACAGAGTGACATACAGGACAGCAAGAGAAACCCTATTTAAAAAAAAAAAAAAAACCTAATAAGTGCTGGAGAGATGGCTCAGCAGTTAAGAGTGCTTCAGAGGACTGGAGTTTGATCCCCACAGGATGAGTCACAACCTCCAGTTCTAAAGATCTGGCTCCCTCTGCTGGCGACTATGGGGCCTGCCTGCAGATATATAGGCAAAACATCCATGCACATTCTTTTTTTTTTTAAGTCAATTAACTAAACCTCTGTATACATTATCCAGCCTCAGTTCTCTTGTCACAGTAACAGAAAATGACACTTTCACTGCAGGAAGGAATGGATCAACTCAGGGTTACTTTGTAGATCTTGCACCTGTCCCCCAAATTTTTGCCCAGGGTGTTGAGTGTGCTGGGGCACAGACTAAGCACATCTACCCACTTTTCCAAGGTCCTAAAGACAAACCAAAGTTTGATTCCTCCAAAGGTTCCCCTGGAGAACTAGTGAGTCTATTGGGCCCCCTCACTGAGCCTGAGTGAGGGGTTACAAACGGGAGCCTGGGGCAGCCCAGAGCGGTGTGGCTGGAGATGCACCTGCTAGAGATGGCGCTCCTTCCTTACCCTTCCCCAGCCTATACATGTCATCCCCCTTCCCAAACCCGACACCACATGCAGTTAGGACAGAACTGCATACAGCTGGATGCACAGCTGGGTCCAGGGACCGTCCCCATCCTCTCTTAGAAGGGAAGACCAACAGTGAGCAGCTCAGCTGAGACAATCTTTGCAATCCCAGTTGAACACATGAAGAAGGTTACAAATTTGGCCTATAGAACATCTCACCCAGCTCCTCCAAGATTCGCTTTGTAAGTAGACTATGGTAAAGACAGCCATGTAGTAATCATGCCAGGCCTCTCACAGACATGTGTTAGGTGTGTCCCCTGCCACTTTACAGATGAGGAAGCTGGGGTTTAGAGGGATGCAAGGCTTCATCAAGCTCACTCCTAGAAGACTTCAGATAACTGGGGTGTCGGGTCATCAGAATGCCTGGAATGGGGCCAGCACAGGGACTGGAATTTTATTTATTTATTTATTTATTGTATATGAGTACACTATAGCTGTTCTCAGACTCACTAGAAGAGCGCATCAGATCCCATTACAGATGGTTGTGAGCCTCCATGTGGTTGCTAGGAATTAATCTCACAACCTCTGGAAGAGCACCCATGTCTTAACCACTGAGCCATCTCTCCAGCCTGGGACTTGAATTCTAAACTGAGTAACAGAGCAGCATTAATACCACTTATTCATTCTCCCGAGTTCCCTGTCCCTCATACTATGGGAATGGACCTTTAACCTCTTTCTGCTGTTTTTTAGGCTTTTGTTCACTTGTTTGTTATGTTTTATTATCACTGTATTTGTGCCGGGTGGTGATGGTACACGCCTTTAATCCCAGCACTTGGGAGGCAGAGGCAGGTGGATTTCTGAGTTCGAGGCCAGCCTACTCTACAAAGTGAGTTCCAGGACAGCCAGGGCTACACAGAGAAACTCTGTCTCAAAAAAACAAAAAAACAAAAAAAAAAAAAAAAAAAGAGTACCAACTGTATTTGTGTGTGTGTGCAGTGATGTGCATGCAGAGGTCAGAGAACAACTTTTCTCCTTCTGATGTTCCAGGCATTACAAGCAGTTTTACCCAGTGAGCCATATTGCTGGCCCGTGTTTTCTTCTTTTGAGACAATCTCGCTGGGTTGCTCAGGCTGACCTTGAACTTGTGTTGTACCCACCAACCCACCCCACTCAAAGAAGCAGAGACTACAGGTATGCATGGCCATGCTGGGCTACCCTCTTTCTCTTCTTTTCTGACATCTTTTGGCCCAGGCTTTCTTCATTCCTCTCCACTCTGATCTCATCAAACAGCAAAGTCCTAGCTCCCAGTGTCCCAGAGTTCAGAGGGAGCCTGGAGCCACTCCTCCAAAAGCTGTAGCCTATCTTCAGTGTGGAAGATACTGCAGCAGGCCAGAGCACAGTCAAAGCAGAAACTGCTAGCCCAGTAACCCTGGATTCCAGACCATAAGCTGTGGCTGCTTCATCCTTCCAGGGGTTAAAACAGGCATTGACTCCCATGGAGTCAGAATTACAATGACTGGGAGAATCAGATAGATCTGAGTAGAATCCCCTCAAGGGCTTCGACTATGATAGATCTTCTCTTCTGTGACATCTCCAAAGTTAAGCCCCACTCATTTGGAACCCACTAAATGCTCAGTCATCACTGAGTATAATGATGGTGTCCAAGAAAGCCTGGAGACCAAAGAGCAGATACACTCATGAACTGAAAAAAGCCCAGTGTGCCTGGCGAGATGGCTCGGTGCTAAAAGGCTAGAGACCGGAGGGGCCAGCTAGAGCATCTGCCAGCCCAATATCTACTGTCTCCCATCCCATAGCTGTATGCTGACTCCCTGACTCCAGGGGACAAGACCAAAGTTTCAGAAAGAACTTCATCTACCTGAGATAGCGCTGGACAGATGGATACCTGACACTAAGATCTAAAGATCTCCCAAGACCCCAGCATGGGAGCCTCTATACAAAATGTTGTGTGGCTGTGCCACTAAAGAATTGGCAGCTGGAGCTGGAGAGATAACTCAGCGGTTAAGAGCACTGACTGCTCTTCCAGAAGTCCTGAGTCCAATTCCCAACAACCACATGGTAGCTCACAACCATCTGTAATGGGATCTGATGCCCTCTTCTGGTGTATCTGAAGACAGCTACAGTGTACTCATGTATGTTTCTGATTATTCCAAAGTCCCAAAGTGACAGGCTAGGGTCCTGGATGATTGTAATTTATTTCCATTTGAGGGAAAGAAAGGTCTTCCTGGAACCCAAACTTGTACTCAGGAGCCTGGTGTCCTGCTCTGAAAGGCTAGGCCTAGACCAGACACAGGATCCCTGCCAGGAAGAGGACAGTAGCCCTTTAAAACCCAGCCTCACTGTTGCTATGTATGGAAACAACTTCCTTAGCAACTACCTGGCTTCTTAAAGGGGACTTGAAACAGTGGTTGCCATCAGCCATGGCTCCAAAAAAGAAGCCAAACAAAGGAGGCAAGGAGATGCAGGGCAAGAAGAAAATAGGGGGCAGGAAGGATACCAGTGGGACCAAGACTCCAGAGTTGGCCATGGTGGAGGAGCTGAAGGAATTCTACCACAAGCAGATCCAAGACCTGGAGGACAGGCTGGCCCGGTGGGTGGCCAGTGGGGAAGCTAGTGCTGCCAGGCCTGATGCACACGGGTCAGATAAAGGCCCTAGACCCGGGCTCTGGCCAGGCCAGATGCACACAGGTTCAGATAAGGGCCCTAGACCCAGGCTCTGGCCAGGCCCGGCCCTTCCCTGTCTCTTTCCTCAAGTAACCAGGTAACCCTAGAAGTGGGGAGAGGGTAAACGGATTCCCAGCACTGTGGAGCACACTGCTAAATAAGCCTTAGTGTCTGAATCCCAAGTAACACCCCACCCCGACCCTGGCCTGCTCCAACAGGACGGGACTCTAAGCATTATGAATGTGTAGTTTAACTGGTGGAATAAATTGAAAATGGTTTCCCCTGGTGACCCAGGAGGATACTACGTTCCCTCTTTTCCTTATGCCAAGACCTGGGTGTTGTTTCTCCAGGCTGGATCTCTTTACCTAAGTATTTGTTTTGTTT